GGATTTCGGTTTAGCTGGTGGTTTGGATTTCGATTTAGCTGGTGGTTTGGATTTCGATTTAGCTGGTGGTTTTACTGCCGGTTCTAATGGACTGTTTGGTGGCATATCTGCTGATGAGGCACCCGGCGAGCCACCTGGTGAGACATCTGGCGAGCCATCCGGCGAGGAACCTGGCGAGCCACCCGGCGAAGAATCTGGCGAGCCACCCGGCGAGGAACCTGGCGAGCCACCCGATGAACCACCTGGTGAGCTACCCGGCGAGCCACCTGGTAAACCATCCGGCGAGCCACCCGGCGAACCATCCGGTGAGCCACCCGGCGAACCATCCGGTGAGCCACCCGGTGAGCTACCTGGCGAGCCACCCGGTGAGCCACCCGGTGAGCCACCCGGCGAGCCATCCAGCGAGCCACCCGGTGAGCCATCTGGCGAGCCACCCGGCAAACTACCTGGTGAGCCACCCGGCGAACCACCCGGCGAACCACCCGGCGAACCACCAGGTGAAGAACCCGGCGAGCCACCTGGTGAGTCACCCAGCGAGCCACCTAGTGAGCCACCCGGCGAAGCATCCGGCGAGCCACTTGGCGAAGCATCCGGCGAGCCACTTGGCGAAGCATCCGGCGAGCCACCCGGCGAGGAACCCGATGAGCCACCTAGCAAAGCATCCAGCGAGCCACCTGAGGAACCCGGCGAACCACCCGGTGAGGCATCCGGTGAGCCGTCCGGCGAGACATCTGGCGAGCCACCCGGTGAAGAACCCGACGAGCCACCCGGCGAGACACCTGCCGAATCATCCGGCGAGGCACCTGGTGAGCCACCCGGCGAGGCATCTGGTGAGGCACCTAGTGAGGCATCCGGCGAGGCTCTTGGCGAAGCACCCGGTGAGGCATCCGGCGAATCACCCGGCGAAGCACTTGGCGAGTCACCCGGCGAAGCATCCGGCGAGGCACCTGGCGAGTCACCCGGCGAGGCACCTGCCGAAGCACCTGGCGAGTCACTGGGTGAGGCACCTGCATCGGGCGTCAACCCTGGAATTTTTGGCGGTTCTTTGCCCGTGAGTTGCCTGTACACAATTGACTAGGGTCTGGTTATCAAAAATCATGGTATCATATACTTAATAGTTAGGCTGTAAACGGTTCACCACCAAGATTATACAAGACTATAAACTTTATATATGTTGATGCATATCAACGTATACAACCATGCATCTAGACAAACAGATATGGATTCCCAATGCTAAATGCAAGAGTAAAAATTGGGAGAAAATGGAATTTGTTTTCATAATTAATTTTGTACAATTAATGGTGAGATTTCAAGGGGAATATCGATTAATACTTTGTTTAGTCTTTATTCCTTTGAAAACACAACCACTCCCATAATTCACGTATTATAGTAACTATGTGTCTACGTCCCCCTCTAATCTAGTTAAAAATAAGATGTAGTCATCATCAATTCATGCGTTAATCAATCCGTTAATTCTCCCACCTAATATATATACAGTGTGTATACTTTAAATTTGTATAGTAAACCTTCTACTAGTGTACAACGAGTTTTCTAATATATTTTTTTGTGGCCTATAGTAATAATAATAAATTTTGTTAGTGTTAGTTACTTGTAGAGCCACATGAGGATTTTGAGAGCCGTCACACCAAAGCTACCGGAGGCCGCTAAACACGTAGCCAGCAAAGTAGTGGTGAGACCTGCTGGTACGAGAACCGGACTAAATAGGAGGAATAGCGGCATGGTAGCGATAAATGCCACGGCTGTGCCACCGAGGGATAGGCCGGCGAGCAACAAGAGGAATATTGCGGCTATGGTGGCAAAAAACGCCGTTAGAACACCCTTAAACGTCGGCCTTGTGCGTAGTTTCTCGCGTTTTTTCTTTTTGAAAAGAAACATTCTCACTATTTTGAATGGGCAGAAGAGAGGGAACTTGATTTTGTGATCCGATGGTTGTGGGAATTTATGAAGGAGAATGGATCCCTATGAACAGAGAGATCGAGTTGTGTAGTCTACGTGCACGGGACGTGCTTTGTTCCATGCGAAACGATGCCAGTGAACGTTGAGCTCTACGTCACGTCAATGCCTTTTCTTTTTTTTTTGGGTTGACACATTTTTTTCACTCTTTTCTTCGCTTTCTTGTAAAATAGGAGTGGACATTTTGGGATTTTGTTCGCATTCGGTTTAGCCGTACATGTTTTTGATTTCCCTTGATTTTAACTGAACTTATAGAACTAAAGTGTATCAAAAGACTCAGAATCACTTCTCTTCATATTCAAATCAATATAGCATTTGGAAGATAAGCATAAATAGCCCTATAAATATGGGGAGTGATTTCTCTTGAACCTCCTCATGTCCCAAAATTTCACCTTCTTTTTTTTGTTTGGTCGAACTTCACCTTCTTTTATATATGTATTTTTGTTATTATATTTTATTTTGTCTTGAAGACAGATATTAATATACTTTATTACTTAACGTAAAAAAATACATTTAGCTATTTTTTCAGACACCATCAAAAAATTAACAGGAACCATATTCAATTATGAATATGCAAGTGATTAACATATCGATGACAACAACAAAAAAACATATGAATACCAACCAATAATGAATGATGGCGCCATTAATTATATATAAAATATTTAAACTATGCGAATAGGACAACCAAATCATCCATATTATATATTATGAATATGCAAGTGATTAACACATCAAGAAACGTTGTTTGGTCCTGAGTTTTATGTTAGTTGTTGACTATAATTCTATAAATTTTCTTCACTTTGGAGTCATACAATCTATATTTTCTAGGAAATATTGACTTTTTCATAATTAGTTTGTTTGCCTCCATCTTCTATAAAGCCATTTGCGTGCACTGGAGCAATGTAGAAATGATTTCACACATTTTCTAATGCAGATTGAGTTCGATAAGACGCCAACTAGGTCAACCTATTCGTGTGGGAAATAATATTAATATTAAAACCTTTGAATGTAGTCAACGATTGGGATGGATCCTCTTATATTATTTTAATCGAGCAAAGCATATTAATCGCTGAGATCTGATTCTTCCTTCTTTTTAAAAAAAAAAAATTTAAAAACTAGAATTTTAGTTTTGGATATCCTAATTTTTACTATAAGAGAAAGAATTTTGATCACATCATCTAATGAAAGAAAAACCAACCTAAGAAATACTGGTAATCGTAGAATGTTGATGGTGATCTCTGAGTAATTAATATTTTGAGCTTATTATACATTCATTTTGTTAACAACTATATATGTTGTCTCAACTAGAAAGCTTGATGCATTCTCAGTCAGAAGATAGTTGTTATGGTTAGAGAAAACTCTCAAATGCCTGAAACATTTTATTTGCTTCTATATATTGGACAAGCTACTTCGCCCACTTGAAATGTAAATCTTCCATTCATCAAAGTATATAGTTTCTTGGAAGACTGAAATAGAGCAGTTGCTTTATATGAAGAGAGAGAGAGAGAGAAAGAGGTGGAGGCGTGGAGCATAGCCCACCAACCAAATGAACTACACGATCAGGTACGTACATATACATACATGTATCAAAATAGATAAATAATATTTGAAAGATAACAATTGTGCACGGATCCATAATCAAGTTCATATTATATGTTCATCCCTTGCCTATGTCCATGACATATTTTTATTTCGGTTTAGCTGCTGGTTTAGCTTTTGGTTTAGCTGCTGGCTTAGCTGCTGGTTTAGCTTTTGATTTAGCTTTTGGTTTAGCTGCTGGCTTAGCTGCTGGTTTAGATTTTGGTTTAGCTGCTAGCTTAGCTGGTGGTTTGGCTGCCGGTTTAGATGCGGGTTTCTCTTCTGCTGTTGCCGGTTGCATTGGCATGCCCCCCGACATATCTTCTGATGAGCCACCTGGTGAGGCACCTGGTGAGTCACTTGGTGAACCACCTGGTGGGGCACCTGATGAGTCACTTGGTGATGAAGCACCTGGTGAACCACTTGATGAGTCACCTGGTGAACCACCTGGTGAGGCACCTGGTGAGCCATCTGCATCGGGCGTCAACCCTGGAATTTTTGGAGGATCTTTTCCCGTGAGTTGCCTATATACAATTGAATAAGTTTGGTTGTCAAAAATCATGGTATCATGTTCTTAATAGTTACGGCTGGAAACGCCACCAAGACTATATACAAAGATTGCAAACTTTATATATACATATGTATATAAATAGATAACCATGCATATAAACGTATACAACCATGCATCTAGACAAATAGATATATATTCCTAATCGTAAATGCAAGAATAAAGAATGGAATAAAATGGAAATTGTTTTCGTAATTAATTTTATACAATAAATGGTGAGATTCAAGGGAAATATCGATGAATACTTTGTTTAATCTTTATTCCTCTAAAAACACAACCACAACCGTAATCCACGTATTATACTAATTATGTGTCTACGTCCCCCTCTAATACATTTGATAATAAGATGCAGCCACCCACAGATATCATTCATGCGTTAATAATCCGTTCATCCTCCTACCTAATACATATACTCTAAATTTGTATTAACATAGTAGACCTTCTATTAGTGTCCATCGATTTTTCTAACATATTTTTGGCCTATAATAATAATAATAAATTTTGTTAGTGTTAATTACTTGTAGAGCCACATGAAGATGGTGAGAGCCGTCGCACCAGAGCCGCCGGAGGCAGCTAAACCCGTAGCCAGCAAGGTAGTGGTAATACCCGCTGGTACGAGAACCGGACTAAATACGAGGAATAGTGGCATAGTGGCGATAAATGCCACGGCTGTGCCAGCGAGGGATATGCCGGCGAGTAACAAGAGGAATATTGCGGCTACGGTGGCAAAAAACGCCGTTAGAACACCCTTGAACGTCGGCCTTGTGCGTAGGTTCTCGCGTTTTCTCTTCTTGAAAATTAACATTATCACTATCTTGAATGGCCAAAAGAGAGGGAACAGGACGTGCATTTTTTGATCCGATGGTTGTGGGAATTTATGAAGGAGAGTAGTGTATTCATATGGACAGAGAGAGTGGTGTAGCCTACGTGTACGGCACGTGCTTACCTCCATGCGAAACGATGTGAGTACTGAACGTTGAGCTCTACGTCACGTCAATGCCTTTTCTTTTCTTTTCTTCTTTTGTTGGGCTAGCTCTCACAATTTTTCGCCCTTTTTTCTTCGCTTTATTGTAATATAGGAGTGGACAGTTTGGGTTTATCATCGTATTCGGTTTATAGCCGTTAATTCATGTTTTTTATTTGATTTTAAATAGAACCCAATTGTATCGTTTCTTCCCATTATAAATTTATAAATTTAGCCGTTTGGAATAACTTCGCCAGTCAAAAGACTCGGAATCTAGTAAGAAAACAAGTTAGATTTTTGTTTTCTTTTATTTACTAAATGTGAAAAAATTAAATTTTCATGACATTTTATAAAAGCGACCGATAATCTATTAGTTTTGTATTACTGTTGTAAAGGAAGAACTACTTGTTTGGGTAGTAGTTGAAAGATCATGGTTTAAGTTCTTTAACTGCGATTTAAATTATAATTAACAACTGTCAACTGTGAATAACTAGCGCTGTTTCAAAGTGGAAGCTACTATTAGTTTGGATTTTGATTTGATGATGCAAACCAAAATTCACCAAAACCATGCATGATTCGGAAGTTATAGGCACCGTGGTTTAGCATAAGCGGATGTCACGCTAAACCATTCTTATATTTTTGTCTTCAAGACAGATATTAATGATATTTTACCTTTAAAAAAATACATTTGCTTATTTTTTTCAGAGACCATCGAAAAAGTAATAGGAACGCATTATTTTTCTAGTAACCATTTCCATTATGAAGATGCAAGTGATTAACATATCACGGACAACAACAAAAAAAACATGTCAATGACTACCAATAATAGATGATGGCGCAATTATATATGAAGTATCAAAATACGCGAATAGGACATCCAAATCATTCATATTATATGTTCATCTTTTTTTTTTTAATAAAAGAGGGTAGATTAGGTTTAATTACGTGGAGCCCTCGAAATTAATAAAAAATATCCAATAATCAAGTTGCTTCAAATCATTTTCCACCCAGGAGAGGCCTACCAGGAAAACAACTTTATTGAGCTGGCTCCCCTCGTTTAAAATTTATCCATTATACAAAATCTACTGTATTTTTTTGCTCTTTATAGATATTATTATATTAAAAAGATTACATTCAGGGAACAATCCGATCTCAAATACTTCTTCGTTGTTAAAACCTTATATCATCAAAATTTTCAAGAGAAACGTCAGTTGGTGGAAAAAGAATTCTGAGTCGAGTCTCATGAACATAAAACTAATTCACATAGGATAAAAGTTATTTGATGTACAAAATATCCAAATCATTTGGCCTAGTTGTAAAAGAGTCTGAAGATAAATTTGTGAATTTGGGTACTACTTAGTTTAAATCAATATTAGTGTACAACTAATCCTTAATGAAGACAAATAATGAAAATTAAGCTGAGTTAAGAATTTTGAAATATCTTCACGATTTGAAAATCATATATTTGTTTCTATTTACCAATAATTCTAAATTTTCTAATAGAAAAAATAAAATAATGGAATGTGATGTCTACAAACAAGAAACAAAAAATAATAATAAATGTAAAGATAATATATGCAATGCCGTTGAGAATCAAATGATACATATTTTATTTAGTAGTCATAATCAGAGAGAAAAAAGACAAAACAAGTTGAGCATAAATAAAAGAGAAGATTCATCCTTAGAACCAATATGTAAAATGTATATACTGTATGTGATTACAGTTTTTCATGTGAAGTGTCACGTCACGCAACAACTTGATGAAGGTCCTTACAAAAAGTTCGACGTTGTCTTCATAAATTGTATTAATTGATAAGAGACTTATGACCCATCCGTAAAACCACTAAAGAGAGCGACAAAACCACAAGAGTTTGTGTCCCTACCCATTCATGGCTGCCAAAACTTTGTGATTACCTTCTTGTCTCCTATTCCTTCCCTTTTATATATAGGAAGCAAAAGATCCAAGCTTTTTGCTCAAACATCACTTGCCGACTCTCTCTCTTTTTCTCTCTCTCTCTCTCAACTGCTTCTTGTTTGGGAAAAAGATGGCGACTTTTGAGGAAAGCTCTGATTTTGATGCCATACAGAAGCATCTCTTTGAAGACTTTATGGTTTCTGATGGTTTCATGGGAGATTTGGACTTTGATGCTTCTTTTGCCTCAGGACTCTGGTGTATAGAACCTATGATGAATCAAGTCCCTAAACAGGAACCTGATTCGCCGGTTCTTGATCCGGATTCTTTTGTCAAAGAGTTTTTACAAGTGGAAGCCGAATCATCTACATCAACGGGAATTTCATCATCACATGAGACTGATCAGAGTGTCTCGACCCTGAAGAAAGCAAAGAGGTTTGAAGAACAAGAATCGAGGCATTACAGAGGAGTGAGAAGAAGGCCGTGGGGGAAATTTGCAGCAGAGATTCGGGATCCAGCAAAGAAAGGATCCAGGATTTGGCTAGGAACATTTGAGAGTGATGTTGATGCTGCAAGAGCCTATGATTGTGCAGCTTTCAAGCTCCGGGGAAGAAAAGCCGTGCTCAACTTTCCTCTAGACGCCGGAAAGTATGAAGCTCCTGCGAATTCAGGACGGAAAAGGAAGAGAAGTGATATTCAAGAGGAGCCCCAAAGAAGTCAGAGCAACTCATCTTCATCGTCAAGTGATGGAGAAACGACCTGTGAATGATGCATTTAACATGTAAGAGTGTGAGCAGTTTCATTGTATAAGTTAATTTGTACAGAGCAAGTGAAGTTTAGGTTAGTGTGCTTAGGAACTCTTGCAACAAGTTTGTATGGATGTTCTGTTTCTTCATGTCCAAAAAGACCATAAGTTTTAGAAACAAGTTCTTGTTTCCAAGAAAATTCTCTCGACAGACTTGAGTTTCCGATCTTTAAACAAAATTAGTTATTAGGTATTGTACTCCGTGATTAGTCGATGGTTTGAACCAAGATAAACAAATCAATGTAGTAGCTGAAATTTAGAACTGAACATAATTATTAGCAATTTTTTTAATCGAAATCATTATTTATTGTAAATGCACACGTCAAACACAAACAGAAGGATCTTCAACCGTGCGACTCTGTGTTATGAAAAAAATGAAGATCTTCTTTACTTGGAAATTTTGTTTCACATGTAACGCAAACGAGAAAAAAAAATTGCGTTTGAAATAAACAAGGTCTCAATCTCTTACATAGAAACTTCACCGAAAAAGGTTCAACAAGGGAGTGTACCTACCGTTTATAGAAGGGGGAGTGAATCAAGATGAACAAGTTGCATGAGGGACCAATTTTAAGAATGTAGCAGCAGCAAATGTTTTGTCTCAGAGAGTCACAGGTTAGGTATAAGTCAAGATTCATTGATAAAGAATATGGACCACAAGCTACAGAGTCCAGAGACTTGAAAGAGAGATGCATAACTTGCAAATGGATAACAGAGAAGAGATATTTATAAAAATATCTAACTTTCCTTGCTGACAATTTGGTTTTGAGTATTAACAGTGAGAAACCAGGATACCATTTTGAATCTTTCTCTGGTTTACTAGGTTCATTAATACAGTATATATATATATATTTTTATGAAGATATGATATAATATGTTTCCTGTTTAAAAACCCTTATCAGAGTTTTTCGGTAAATACTTTTATCTGTCGAGTCGACCATAGACCGACATCAAGCAACAGAAGCCTATTTCCTGAAATGAGAACTTTATTTTGTTAAATCAAGGACGTAAATTTTTGTTACTCAAGAAAGCTTTTTTATACATTGAAAACAGTTAACAATCACTACTAATAGTCGCGGGAAAAAAAATAAACACTCCTAAAATTGAAAGACGCACAAGGCTGCAACTTTTACAACGAAACACATAAGGAATCCTCAGTCATCAGAGCTGTAGTCGCTGGACTCAGGCAAAGGCGGGACCGTGGCACAGCAGAACGCGTCTTTGTCTTTGAGAAGGAGACAGCTTCCATCAATGTTCCATTTGAGGTCAGTTATGGAGAAGCCCGGGAGAGGATTGCATACACAGAACGCACCCGAGGGAGTCCACATGTAGAGGTGAGAGCTTCCAGTGCATACAAGGAGTCGGGTGCAGGTGGGGTCCCACACAGCGGCTCGGATAGGTTCCTTCTGGACCAGGATGGCTGCAACCTCGAGGCGTTGCATGTCCCATATCCATAGAGCAGTGGGCATACTGTCGTTTCGTGTGCATATATACTGGCTGTCTTTGCTCCAAGCAAGAAGGCCTGAGAACATTTTTGAAAGAGTTTAGCTTTTGGAAGTTAAATACAAGACGCAAAGTTTTCCAGACCGATTGCAGTTTCTAAGGTTGCGTCTTTCGTTGCAGAAGAAAGAGCTTACCAACTCCTTGTTTTGGGTTAGGCTTGTCTGCAGGAGGCTTCTGGAAAGGAAAAGCTACCGGTAATTCCATGACTTCATACCTGACACTTATATAGCCTTCCGAAGCATCTGGACAAAGATGTGAATCACATGAAAATAAGAAGAGATTGAAAAGTGTATTTTGTATCAATTACTGACGAAAAGAGTGTTAAGGAAGATGTGTCAATAGAATAGGACAGGTTTGGAACCGTAGTTACCATAATTGCTTGGCATAAAGTTGTCATCCAACGATAACTCAGACATATCAAGCTCCAAGGGTTCATCGATTTCCTACAAAAAAATAATGACCAATAAGGTTAATACACGCCTGAGTTGACAATAAGCAGTTGTCCTGCTGTTAAACTTTTTTTTTTTTAAATCAAAGAATGGAAAGGGCTTTACCTTGAAAATAGCAGCACAACAGGGCGCACGAACCGTTGATAGGTGTAAAAACTCAGCAAATGTTTTCCAAGTAAGGTGATTTAGGACCCGCAACATTTGATCGTAGCTACCAATGGCAAGAAACTGACCACATGGAGACCAGGAAACAGTCTTCACACCAAGTCCACATTCATATGCCTGGTACTTAAATAGACACCTACCATCTGGAGAATAGATTAGAACCTGCCCAAATGGTTACAAACTTAAGAGATATCCACGAGAAAACCAAACATAACGAATTCCGATAATCATGCAAGAAACTAACCATTTCTCAAGATTCAAAAGTTGCATCAAGACCAAAATGATACATACCTTATATTCAAGAGGCGAATCCCAGACTACAATAGAACTATCATCTGGTGACCACTCAAGATCAGCCAAGTCCAAGGTATCAACAGCGAAGCTACCCATTATCTCCCATGATTGACAAGACAAGAGGTTTACATAATCCTTGCAATCACGCCGCGTACATATTGCTGCAAACTTCCCATCTTGATTGAATGAAACTCCCTTCGAGCCATGCTTTGGCCATTGAACATGAACACACGCTGTGTTCAAAAGGGACCAAACTGTTAACCGCAGCTGAAACTCCGAGGTTGTGAGTATATGGCGGCTGTCTGGACTCCACCTAGCGTATGAAATACCAGCAGGACCTTCATCAATCTTGCAAGTCCATTCTGGTTGTGTCAATGACCAGGCTTGAATCATCGGTTTTTTATAGAGACCACAGAGAATGTATTCAGAATCTAGGGCCCATTCTATGTAGCTTATTTTATCTAAGCAAGAAAACAACTGGACAACCTGCATTTATAGGCACGCTTCACATTCGTTACATATTCATAAGATCCAAAAAAAAAAACTTCAACGATCTTATAAATCATCTCTCAGGTTCCACTTTCCAAAAATAATCCGGATCAAGTAGCTTCTACCCAATTTAAAGTACAAGATCTAGTTGCATTTGAACACTAGAAGAAACGTTTTTGTTTTGTAAGATCCAAAATCTCTGAGCAAAAGTTGCCATTGTACCTCCGAATTGTAAGCGAAATCAAGGGTTTAAGACTAAATGTAACTAGTTTTTACCTGAAACGAAAAAGTATCGCGGATCACGAGACGATAATCATTGGCGACGGCGACGTAACGAGAGTTTGGAGAGAAACAGCAAGGACCCGTCTGCTTGTAAGCCTCTGTAAATTCCATATTTTGAGTATATGCAAGGAGATTCTGCGACAGATTCTCAGAAGGGGAGAATCAATGCCTATAACTTTCGATAGACTAAGCTCCTCGATTCACAGACTGCGAGGAGCCATGGATTCTGACGCCGAGATAATTTTTTCAAAATTGAAATGAAAGAGAGAGAGAGAGATTACGAGGCGTTTCGGGTCGGGTTCATATTGGGTGGGGTTGATTACGGGTATGGATTTCAAATTAAATGGGCCTCTGGCCTATTTTTCTTCAACTCTTGTGGAAGTAAACACGCTTATCTAACAGACATCATGCCGTTCGTAAGAAATGTAATAGCACATTCTGCCGTTTATCATGTTATAATAGTAGAATCTCCCTGGTCTGTTTTGACAGTAAACCTCGGATGTTCCTGGGGAAAACAACAGAAACGGGATAATATCTCATTTAAACAGTTCTTATATTTACTTTTGAAACCTAGAAAAACAAATACAAAAACATGAACACAAACTCTTAGATTGTCAAAAATCAACGAAATTAAAAAAAAAAAAAAAAAAGTAGTTGATAAGCAAAAACTCAAGAAGAGCTTCCTCCACAATCGCTTTGGTTTACAGATCATCTATAGACGAAATGATCATAATGCAATCAACCAACGGGCTTCTCCTCTGCAGATGCGCTTGCGAGACTAACCAATTCAACACAATTTACTATGTGTACAAATTACAATCCCACACCAAAACAGAATACTCTTCTCCCTCAGATCATCATTGATGACCTCGCGTCTCTCTCTAGCCTTTCATCCTTCTAAATCTCCTCACTATAGTCTTTTTGCCTCAGAAGAATTATCAAGAAATCTGCTTTTTCTGTCTCTGACGATCACCTCTACCACATATAGAGGTTTATTCCTCCAAAGATGGAACTTGGAAGGAGAGTTTTTCCGGCTCCTCATCCTTTAAACTTTAAAGCGTTCGACAACGCAGTCTTCTGGAATGGCACAGTTCACTGGTTCGGTTTCCACTCAAGAGATTGCCTCTCTTTCGATATCAGTCAAGAGCAAATCAAGATTCTTCAACTTTCCTTGTTCACGAAATGGAAAAGAACAGCTTAAGCTGGTCCGTGAAGTATAATGTTGATTCAGAGCCTCTTGCAGTTGCGTTTCCCGAGATGATCAGAACCGAAAACTTCACCAATAGGCGGCTCTACACGTTCTCTGTCATCGGTACTGTAAAGGAAGAGATGGATGCAGAATCATACATCCTGCTTCACATTCCAAACAAGACTGTAAAGTACAGCTTCATAGACAAGACTTTCAAGAAACTTTGCAGTTTCGAGCCATCATTCTACGATGCTCTTTCTTTAGTATCAGTTCTGCGGATTCCAAAGATCTTTCAAGTTCTTTGAGTCTCTTGCTAACGTCTAAGTGTAGTTTACTCCTCCCCGGGAAGCGTACAAAGAAATCGAATACTTTCTGTGCCATAGTCAATTCCTATGTAAAAGCTTTTACTACAAGATACTTTTCCTCTATCAGAAACCCAAATGTGATCAATCATTCTGAAATCATTCTAACATCTCCGGATCTCTTTCAGTTTCCCCAAGACTTGTTTCACGTTTGGCCTAAGAGAAGGAGAAGGAGAGCAACAAGACATCGCAAGCTGAATATACTTGAGTACACATTCTTCACTCACGTTACCATTACTCCTGAGAATCTCAGGACGGTATAAATCAGACAGCTTATGATCAAGAACAGCATTCCTAATGAAATCAGGAAGATAGAACTCATCATCGCCAGTTGGATTCTCGTTTATCGGTTCTTTACCAGAGACTAGCTCAAGCATGATCACACCGAGACTATACAGATCACTCTCTTTGCTCACTTCCTTCATCTTTATCAACTCAGGAGCTTTGTATCCCTCAGCTGCAGATACATCAAGAATCTCTTGTCCTGCCGTTCGGTTTAAGAGTAAATGCAAACCAAAATCAGAGATTTGAGGTTCGAAACTCGAGTTCAGAAGAATATTCTTGGATTTCAGATTTCCGTGGACGATTGGTTTCTGCATTCCTGTGTGAAGATAATCAAGAGCTTTTGATATTCCAATTGTGATGCTTAGAATGTTCATCCATTTTATCGATTCGTCATCTCTACCTGCCACAGAAAAAAATGTAATTTTCTTTTAGTCTAGAAATTTGAGTAAGGGTTTGTTTTTTTTTAGAACAATAAGAAGGTTTGTTGATATTGACGTTCTTCCGATTCAACCTTTTTTTTTCAAGTTCTGTCAATGTTCTTACTGAACTAAAGAAGTGGAAAGTGAAGGAAATTAAAAAAAAAAAACAGAAATAGTACCGACAAAAGACAGTCTACATGTATTTTGAAAAGCTTTAGAAATAAAATACTAAGACAAGATAATGAAACACTGAATTAAATGATCCAGCTAATGTGCTTAATTCCAGCTGGGTGTTTCACTTTTCATTAACTATAGGTCTATAGCACATTCTTTTTCTTTTATATATCTATGAATATATATAAGTGTATATTTCTACATCAGATATATAAAAGATATCATCATCATGGGAAACGGTAAAATTTTCATCAGATGCTTGTATGAGTTCAAAGGTTTTTAAACCATTTTTTCCCGGGAAAATAGTAGAATCTCAGGAAAACCCGAAAAACAAGTGACCACGAGATTCCATGGGGTAAAAAGGGACCCCCAATAAAAAAAACCACTCGGGAAAGTTAAAATTCTTAACTTTCTGTCGGGAAAAGAAAAAGTTTGATCCTTTAAATATTTCTTTCGACTTTCCTTTATTTTCTCGGGAAAAAGAAGAAGACTTACTTCTGATGAACTCGGAAAGATTCCCGGAAGCGAAGAAAGGATGAACCATAAGCTTCTCTCCTCTGTTTCCAGCGTAGAAACCTAACAGAGGAACCAGATTCTCATGGCGAACAGATCCAAGCGTCTCGATGACGCCGTTAAACTCCTTCGAATCCGATCTCACTGTACAAACTGGTCGCAGAAATCTAAGAACCCTAATTTTGCCGCTCCGTTGCAACGACGCCTTATACAGAGTGCCGTAGCTTGATTTTCCGATGACTTCTCCGGGAGCATCGAGGATATCGCAGATCGTGAGATCTTCGCCGCCGTGAAATGTCACGAGCTCCTCTGTCTCCGAGGAGAATCCCTGTTTGTTATAGTCGGGTGATTCGACGTCGTATTGATCTGACTCGGCAGATGATTGTTTTCTTCGACAGAAGATGAATAAGACAATGAAGAAGATTACGATGGAGAATGCTGATAAAGAGACTCCGAGTAACAATGTTAAAAAATGGTTTTTTCTCATCTCTTGGAATTTTTGTTTTCCTTCTTCTTCAATTTCTTGGAAAAGAATCTGGGTAGTATTTGTGTTGAAGAGGTGAGAGAGTTTAGGAAAATGGGTATTGTGTTAATAAATGAGAAATGTATGATTAGACTTTGGAATTTATAGCAGGTAATATTTCTGAAATAAACGAAATGGAAGCTCTGGGCTGGCAAAAAAAAAATCAAAGGAAATGGAAACTATGGAATTTATTGTTCACAGTGACAGAGAGAGATTGACGGTGATGGGAGATGAAGTTGATATTTTAGTTCAGAGGACAGATCTAGAATACCTTTTATTTCGTTGTATCAATTTTGACTTTTTGATTTCTTTGGCTTGTAAATATATGCAAATATCATATTTTTCCAATTTATTTGGAAACATATCCTTTTTTTAACGTCATATTATTTAGTTGCCCGAGCTTTATATCCTCTAATGTACAATCGTGTTTTGTAAACTGTTGACCATATAAATGAAAATGACGTTACAAAAAAATTGGAAATATATCCTCTCAAATTCTCAACCAATTATGACCTTAATAATTCTCAACTGTATTACACACGTTAAATGTATTCTACATTTAAATCGGGTTTATGCTTTTATATAAGTGTTCATAGCCGGACGATAGAATCATAGAATAAATAAATAACTTTTTAAAATGATATCGCAAGTAGCACGTTAGTTTCTTCCAAGATAAAAATACTAGCGACCGTGGTAATTAATTCTCATGATCTCAAGAAAAATTATAAAGAACGTTGAAAGTGGTGATGATAAATGTTGGGTTTGACTAGACTAGTGATGGTGGTTGAAGTGCGTGGGGTACATCTTAGGTATTTGATTGGGAGATTTATCCGGCAAGTTTAGTTATATTATGTTTTTCACTTTTTTATAATATCAACGACGATACTATAGAGATAATAGTATTCACTTCCGTATAATATTTACACAAATGAAAAGATAGTATGTTTAATTATGCATACACTAATTTTTCTTACGTTGAATAAATTTTCATAGTTAAGAGCTTATAATAATTTGATAAATTAAATTTCTTCCATTAAATTTCTTAAAATTTACGATTTACTAAAATTAAATAATAAAACATGTATGAGAAATTATTTACTTTTGTTGAATAACAAAAAAAAATTAGTGGAATAAAAGGAAAATTTTCCAAAAATATATATATTTTTATGAATGGTCGAATGGAGAGAATATTTGTTAGGTAATTGGTGGGGATTCGCATGGTTAGGTAATTGGACAAGTATATACACTATTTGTTCTTGGAGTTCTGTAGGGATTCACATGGCTATGTAACTCATCCAAATATAATTTTTTTTTTTTTTTGGTTAAACAAATATAATTTTGTTTCATACTAATTTATTTGTTAATTATGTTTGCTTACAACCAAAGGTTATTAGGTTGCCCGTAATCTGTGAGCAAGTATGAATGTATGATTGTGTTTAAAGAAGATTGAAACTGAAAAAAGAAAGTTATTGAGATTCGACATTCGACACTCGACATCACGATTAATCTTTTGTTAGCTGTAAGCTTGTCTCTAAATTCCTTTAATTAGACAGATGACACAGATCATGGATTTTACTTTATCTGACGGCTCCGAGTCAACCATGTTTACGTCCCACTCTCCCACGTCATCATCGATTTGCATGCTTCAACAGAAGTTCACGTAATATTATTGTTCAGCACCAATGGAATTGAACGATCTACTTATTGACTGTCCTTATTAGTCCTTACATAAATCTACTTATATAGTGTAAAGTGTAAGTTTCATGAATTGACTGTCCTTATTAGTCTTTACATAAATCTACTTATATAGTTGATTAATTCAAAGTAAATACTGTTTCATCCGTTCATAATGAATATAATGTCGTTCAGATTTTCCAAACAAATTAGAAATTCTATTATACCTCGGAGCCGGATAAAAATAATTACAGCCTACATATTAACAAGTGACGACTACCAATTTATAATATTTGGGTGAAACTGAAACATTTAGAAATAGGTGGCGGAAGCTGGAATTATCTTTATCCAAAATGAATTCTCAAAGGAATTATATCGATTTATAAAGTTAAAGGAACAAAACGAAACATTGTAAGAGTACGGTGGTTACTTGTGATATATTTTGTTTTTCCTTTTTTATACACCAAATCCCATATGATTTGGGCACGAAAACTTTATTTCCTTATTGATATTTTGACGAAATTGAGAATTTAGGGTCATCAATCAAATCTCCGATCATCTCGAATTCGTCTTCAGTGTTACAATGGTGCTTTCGCAAAAAATTCATGGAGCATTCAAAGGTGCAGTGGAGAGGATCACTGGTCCTCGAACTGTCTCAGCGTTCAAGGAGAAGGGAGTTCTCAGCGTCAGCGAATTCGTTCTCGCCGGTGATAATCTCGTCTCCAAGTGCCCTACCTGGTCTTGGTTAGTTCGAATTTCAGTATCCACTGTTCGATTTCACAATCTTCAATGTCTAAGCTGTGAATTTGATCAACGTATATGAATTTAGGTCTCTGAGGTTTTGGCTATCGTACGATTCTGTGAGATTATGATTTGGATCAAAACCAATACAATACAAACAGTTGATGGCTTTTCGTTATTATTTTCTTACTCAGGGAATCTGGTGAGCCAAGCAAAAGAAAGCCATACTTGCCTTCAGAGAAACAGTATTTGATTACTAGGAATGGTAAACGAGAGATACTTAGAGCTCCTTCGTATTTTCAGTTTGAAGTTTTTTAATTGCATCTGTATACAATTTGTGGCTTTTTTTTCCATGGATTGACAGTACCTTGTCTACGAAGAGCTGCATCTGTGGCAGAGGATTATGAAGCTGCGGGAGGTGAAGTTTTGGTTGATGATGAAGATAATGATGGTTGGCTGGCAACTCATGGAAGACCTAAAGGTAGATTTTTTTACATCCCGAAGTTATTGCATCGGAAAATTCTTTTTTCGCCCATATGATTTCTTACGTGTTTGATGTGTCCATAGATAAAGGCAGTGAAGATGAAAACTTGCCATCCATGGATGCCTTAGACATAAACGAGAGAGATACTATTCAATCACTACCCAAATGTTCTGGAGGCGAGGAGGAGGAAGATATTCCAGACATGGCAGAGTTTGATGACACTGACAATTTCATAGACAATGATCCCGTGAGTTGGTTATATTCAAATGAACTTGCTAGATTTCAATTCTATCTATATTTGCTAAGTTCAGCTTATTCTATTGTTAAGAATTTGCCACAAAAAATATGCTATAAATAGATATAGACTGAATTTGACACGAAAGTGGCTTCAGAGCATTATTATTAACCAGAGTGTTAAAAAATTTCTCTTTTCATCTCTGAGTCAGGCAACTCTTCAGTCAACGTTTCGTGTGGCTCATGAGCCTGATGACGATAATATCCTTCGAACCAGAACGTATGATGTTAGCATCACGTAAGCATCTTGTGCCTTTTCCATTTACACATTTACATTCACGTGTAAACTTGTTTAAGTTCTTGTAAGACATGTCTCATACTCTTGGCTCACTAGATGGAACTTATACCTCGCTTCACTTTTATTTCAGATATGACAAGTATTACCAAACACCCCGTGTTTGGTTGACCGGCTATGATGAGGTTTCTGACTCATTCATTGCGTTGAATTTCAATTCGTTATGCTGTGACAAATTTTGCATGCTTGTCCATGTCTTTTATGCTTCCTTAAAGAAAACGTGGTATGTCTTGTAGTCAAGGATGTTACTGCAACCCGAACTTGTAATGGAGGATGTTAGTCAAGATCATGCACGTAAAACGGTAATTACATAACTCAACTGTATCAATTGATTCTGTAGTGGTTCTGTGATCTTACTCTGTTCTAGAATCAGTAATGATACGGATTTTAGTTTTCTTTCACTTTCATGGCTTGTTGTAACAACTATAATTACAAAAATTTCACAGGTAACAATAGAAGATCATCCGCACTTACCTGGGAAACATGCTTCTGTTCACCCATGTCGACATGGAGCTGTTATGAAGAAGATCATTGATGTCTTAATGTCGCGTGGAGTAGAACCTGAAGTTGACAAGTAAAATCCCTCACAAACTAACCGTTTATTTTATTTTATTTTTGTACAGTATGGTTATGTCTTGCAACTCCTTTCGTTGTCTTCTCCATAGGTATCTCTTCTTGTTCTTGAAGTTTATGGCATCAGTTATTCCAACAATCGAGTATGATTACACAATGGACTTTGATCTCGGTAGCTCAAGCACTTAATTGCAGGTTAATCTACCTGAATAATATATATTCATGTACATAATATCTTGCTTAATTGTTGAAAACATGCGTTAATCTTACACTTGGGACTCCCTTTTAACTTATTTGGTTTCTTTTTTCCTAGATGGGACATACTGTGCTCTTGAATCCGAGAAGCAGCAAAAAGTTACCGGAGCGGCTCTTCACGGTCTATAATTTGGAGTCTCTCGCTTTTTTTTTTCCCTAAGTTATTTTCCATTTTTTGTTTTTGGACCTTCATATATTTTGTTACCGATGCACAGATAATGATAAATCGATTTCATTTCTCAAAAATTGAATTTTAAATACATATGCTTTTGGGGTTAAGTTTGGTTTTTCGGTTAAGTAGTGTTCCTTATATATTTGAGTCGACTATAATTGTAATAGTACGATTAATAACAAATTGTCAGGATGGCCGAGTGGTCTAAGGCGCCAGACTCAAGTTCTGGTCTTCGAAAGAGGGCGTGGGTTCAAATCCCACTTCTGACATATTATTTTTCGTCCAATATGTTTTTTTTTCATTGGTTAAGGAAATTATCCGAATCGAATTGGTAAAAGTTCGGTTTAATTTGGGATCCATTTTCGCCAACCTGGATAACCCGACCCAAAAAACTTTTTGTATGGAGTCGTCGTCGACGTCTTCACTCTTCACCCCCGGTCAGCTAAACTGAGGATTTGGGTATTTGTTAATTAATGGAGTTTCCATAGATAAACTTTTCTTGGATTCGTGCAACTTGAGCGTGAACATACAGTTTAAGATCGCAAACCCAGAGACAATTAGACGAAGGACTGGAGTTTAGCATCTCAAAAATGGCCACTAATAGGGATAGTGTTAATCTCTCGCGCACGTTCAAGTATTTACTAGGTTCGTCTTCATTCTGTGTTTGTTTTCTTTTATCTAAAATCTCTCTCTGCATTTTCCTGCTAATTAGATTTTCCCTTTCTTCCTTGATCGATTTTTGGAATTAGCTACGCAGTTTCTTTCCAGAGGCATCCCGTTCATATTCAATTCCTGGATCGTCAGGCATCTCACCGAAGAAGACTATGCGGTAATTGATCTTTGTTTACCAGTTTCTTTGCTTGTACATCCGTTGATTGAGAGCCCAGTTTTGCTCAAGTCGAATGGATATGTTCTTAGATTTTGCCAATGTAGGTGCTTTGACTATTTGGGTTGCCTTTAAGCTTAATGGAAAGTACTATTTGGCTTGTATTTATATGCATTTCGTATGGTAAAGATGGGTTTTGTGCAGTTGGGTTCCAGGAATCTAAGATGTTATTCTAATTGCTAAGTGTGGACTTTTAGGTGTAGAAGACCAGGTTTTTTTCTGTGCCTGGAAACAATTATAAAGTCATGTTTTATAAGTATTAGCTCTGCTTGGTTTTACTGGACTTTCACTTGAGTTGCTACGTGGATGGTGTTTCCTTCTTCCAGAAATTCAATGGGTTTTGCATATAAGTTCGATCTATCTTTTCTCATTTCAATGCAGCTCTACGCTGTCCAGTTCCATCTTTTTGTTACCTGTGTCTTGTTTCTCAGCCGGGAAGGATTCCGGCGTGCTTGCTTGCGGGCTGACATTAACAGGTATACATAAAACAGTTCGCGCTGATCCAGTGCACATAATCAGTTCAGGACTAAGTTTTTGGCCAATGATATTACTTAATTTCGTTCTGCAGTGATGGTCTTGTATCCAAGAACGATGTGACTAAGTTATTGAAAGTGGCATGGGTGACATTTCCACTCGGAATAGCCATTACTATTGCAGCATGTATTTTTGTGTTATGGTGGCAGAACCTTAGTTACTCCGACACATATGCACAGGCTATCTTGATTCACGGTACATTTTGTATGCCTTTATCATACTTCTTTCGCTTACAACCTTGGAATTTGAAAGTTTCTGTTTTGTGGTCGTTTACTTGTGTCTGTAATAATTATAGCAACATCCATTTTTTTCCTTCCGTGGCTGCAACTTTCTTTATTCTTAAACAAATTCTTCGGTGATACGTCTATTCTTTTGCTAATAAGATTTCTTTCTAGTAGTCGGAATTTAGATTCTGTGAATATATGGCAGTAGGATTATTCTACCTTTTTACCAACATAAGGACTAACCAACTTAATTGGCAGGATTTGCATGTGTGCTGGAGCTAATGGCTGAGCCTTTGTATATCCTCTCTCAGACATTGATGCTTCTAAAACTGCGACTGGTTGTTGAGACTGTTGCTACATTTTCACGCTGTGTAACTTTGTGCTTTCTCATAGTCAAGCAAACAAACATGGTACATATTTGTGTTAATACGCACAACTCCATTTTGTTTCTGACAAAAGAAGCATGCTTGAAGAAACTTATATAATAAAACTAAAATTTATTATCTTCAAACATACGTAGGAAAAAGGGATAATCTTTGCTCTGTCACAAGTTGCATATGGAGGTTCCTTATTTATTGGGTACTGGGCTTATTTTCTCATTTGTGATGTTTACAAAAGTTCGAATCTCTTTCCGTTCAGGTATGAGTTCTCTATTATTTGATCTCCTTCTCAGCATTCTTAACTTTTGATATGTTCCAATCAACTCTTTCATTTCCAATGATGTTCCAACAATCTTTGTGATGTCACAGACTTGGGGGATTCTTGGATTTTGATATGCAGCTCTCGAACATGTGTATGCTATTTACTATTCAGTCCTTCCGAAAGTTAATCCTTCAAGAGGGTGAAAAGTTGGTCCTTGTATGGTTAGACACACCTTATAACCAGGCTGTATATGGGATCGTTGACAAACTTGGCAAGTCTCTTTCGTGACAAAATCTAAATTTTCCACAGCTACAAAGTACATTTATCGTCTACAGTTGTTGCTTAAAAAATTCTTACACAAATTCTCACCAGGAAGTTTAGTTGTACGTATGGTGTTTCTTCCCTTTGAAGAAAGTTCATACACTACATTTGCCAGGTTCGCATCAGGTTTATTTCTTTCCTGAGTATAGTGTAATTCAGTGTGTAATTAATCTTTGTCCTTGTGTTTCTCGGTATTTGTTACCGTCGAGTTCATTACCATGCATGGTTTCTTTTTATCTCTCTCTTGACAGGTGATTTGCCTGACCAGCGAAAGAGAAAGAAACTTGGAATTTGCCTGACCGAGGCCTTGAAGCTTGTTATATTAATAGGTATATATTAATGAATTCCACTCGTGATGTCTCCTACCAGTCCCTAATACCGGGCATCTGCTTTTCAACTACCATTACAGATCCTCAAATTTTTTTTGTTCCTAGATGTATATAAGACTTTTGACTTAATTTTCGGTTACTTCCTGTTCCTGGGAATTTCTAGGTCTTATATTTATGGCATTTGGCCCGAGTTATTCATACTCTCTCATCAGATTGTTGTATGGTGAAAAATGGAGCGATGGAGAAGCTTCCTTGGCACTACAGTTTTATTGTCTTTACATCATCGTCCTGGCCATGAATGGTTAGTAATCATATCTAGATTTACCTAAATGCTTATTGACTTCTTCTTAGCTACCTTGATTTTGCGGTTACTGGTTGCATTTTTTCCAGTCCTGTTTAGTTTGCAAATTATCTTGTCAGGAACCTCCGAAGCATTTTTACATGCAGTTGGAACAGAGGATCAACTGAAGCGGTCTAACGACATGTTGCTTGTATTTTCACTGATTTACATCGTATTAAATCTTCTGCTGATAAGATCTGCAGGAGCAATAGGTTTAATCTTGGCGAATTCCTTGAGTATCCTTCACCCATATATATGTAGATTTTGCAACTACAGTCCACTTTTGTTTATCTTTATCTTTTTTCTGTTTTCTTGATTTTCCTTAAAACATAAAAAGATATGATTGGAAGGATCATCTATTCAGGGCTATTCATCCGAAGTTACTTCCAGGTGTGCTTTGATTCGTTAAATTAAACTATCTATTATGTTGACAGTCTTTTGTTATTGTTGTTTAACTCCACAACTGTCAACAGGTCGATTCTTCTTCATTCTCGTTCCGAAAGTGTTTTCCTTCAGGTTGGAAAATTCTTATACTCTCGGGCATAATCACTCTCATCTCAGAGAGAACCATTCTCGACCATAAGAATTTCTGGGCAACATTTCCTCTCCATTTCGCCATCGGTTTCCTCTGCTTTTGTCTCTCAGCCTATATCATGTAAGTCCTCCTCTCCGAAGACAATCACAAAATCCATTTCATAAAACAGACTTTTACACTCTGATTTCGTTTATATTAAACGCCAATTGTATTTTCAACATCGGACTATATGGTTCTGCATATTAAATAATATACTCACTGAAATCTTGTGGTTTCCTTTGGTAGATACCTGCGGGAGAGGCTGTTCATCAATAGAATCATTCGTTTCAGGAATAACGACCATGACGACTGAAAAAAAACCAAGAAACCGATGGTTTAAGTACGGTTAAGGATCCGGTTTATGGTTCTCTTACAAGAATTTTCACGCCAAGAATAGGAAAGTGAAGAAGCTCTTGTATTATGCATAGGTTTAACTGGAAAAAAAAAAACTCTTTTCTTTTTTTGTTGGTCAACAAACTGGAAAAACTTTTCATACTATTTTAACTAGCAGTGAAACCCCTCTTCACTCCTCGGTTTTATTTTTTTATTTTTTTTACTTCATGGGTCAAATCACATTCTGGTAAAACCTTGACAGAATATTAAAAAGCGAATAGAGAGAAAAGTAGCAAGATAGAGGGTAATAAGGGCACAAATCTTACTATTTTATTTTGTTTTTTAAAACGGATAATTGACCACACTAAGCCAGTTGTTGCACGAACCAGTCTCCGGTTCGCTTAGACCGGTGACATAGGGAGGCGAAATATAGAATGCACAATTTGAAGCCTTGAAGGCCCATTTCAAATCCAAAAGACCAGTCTGGGATTACATTAATAGTGTTCCTCCTTTCCCCGCCAATAAACACCTGATGAACACTCACTGTCTCTTACAGTATTTTGGACTCCTCTGAGTTAGAAACCCTAGAAAGCGACAAAACATGGATACCGATGGCTATCGACGGAGTAACCCTCTCGACGATCAGCATTCTGGCTCGGGCAAGATTCTGAGACTACGCCTTGAGAATTTCATGTGCCATAGTAACCTCGAGATTGAGTTTGGCGAGTGGGTCAATTTCATCACCGGTCAAAACGGAAGTAAGAATCTTACCAAATTTGGCACTTTTAATCGCTTTTTATGACTTGTGGCTGCGTTTTCTGGAGTTGGGTTTCCTGCTATTTTCGGTAGAGCAGGGTTTTTGTTCAAGCTTTGATTTTGAATTTATGCTGTATGATTTATACCATTAGGGTGTTTTCTTAATTTTCAGGCGGTAAGAGTGCAATATTGACTGCTCTATGTGTTGCGTTTGGGTGTCGAGCCAAGGGGACTCAGCGCGCTTCCACGCTGAAAGATTTCATAAAAACTGGATGCAGGTTTGTGCATTTATACGGGGAATGATTTTTCTTCTTTTTCGCAGCTGCTTTTAGGGAGTTTCTAGCTTTTGCTTCTACACAAAATTAATTGCAGAAATGAATTTCCTGAATCTTTGTGGTATTTTCTTGCAGCGATGCCCTTGTTCATGTCGAAATGAATAACCAAGGAGAGGATGCTTTTAAGCCTGAAATTTATGGCGATACTCTAATTATTGAGCGCAGGATATCTGATTCTACTAGTTCTACGTTTCTCAAGGATCATCAAGGTTAATAAATCTTTGATGCTTTTATCTCTTTTAATTTGATGTGACTTACAGTTTTGTGCTTCTGCTTGTTTTCAATTTTTTTTTTGTCGTTATGTAACTTCTTACTTATATGTCAAGTCCTACCAGCTCTTACTGTATGTCGTTTGTAAATCAACTAATTGATTCAAGAAGGTTTCTGCTTACTTGTTCTCTGCAAACCTTATCGTACAGGGGAAAAGATATCAAACCGAAGGGAGGAGCTACGGGAACTAGTTGCACATTATAATGTGAGTTTTTCTCTTTGGTTCAAGTTTAAAACTTTGACCATATATGTTATTATCAGATTAAGTTTTATTGTCAGTATTTATACGAGTTCATTGGGTCTGCATTATGCTTTCTTTGGCCAGATTGATGTTGAGAATCCATGTGTGATAATGAGTCAAGATAAGAGCAGGGAGTTTTTACATTCTGGAAATGACAAAGATAAATTCAAGGTATATCCAGTAAATTGGTCTGCGGTGAAGTATATCTTGTTGATATTGTTGCTAAAAGCTTTCGTTTTGTAGTTCTTTTATAAGGCAACCCTTCTTCATCAAGTCGATGATCTTCTTCAAAGTATTGACACAAGTTTGAACGCTGCAAGTGCTCTTGTGGATGAGTTCGAGGAGACAATAAAACCAATAGAAAAGGAGATCAGTGAATTGGTTGGAAAGATAAAGACTATGGAACAATTTGAAGAAATATATCAACAGTTGCTGCATTTGAAAAAGAAACTAGCTTGGTCATGGGTATATGATGTGGATAGGCAGCTCAAAGAACAGACTGAGAAGATTGTGAAACTCAGAGAACGAGTGCCTACTTGTCAAGATAAAATTGATCAGAAACTGGTAAGTAATATGTTCTTCTATTACCTCAAATTTGGATTACTATACACGATCAGAAATTCGTAGGGGTGCATGACTTTTCTAAGTTTCTTTTGGGTACTTTAATACTGCAGTTTATTAGTTGTTTCAAATAGAGAAAGTTTCGAGTAAACAAAAATGTTGAAGCTTGAGGTTACTTCTTCCCTAAAACATTCTCATATGCCCATACGGGAATATTTGTATATCGTGGTTCGCTCTTCATTTATGTCTGGTTGAGCTTCTAAAATATTTATTTGCTTACACCCTGAAACCTATATATTCCATCGTAGCATCAATGTATACCTTAACATATCGCTTAAATCCTTCATCTTGGAGATGATTACAGCTGGCCATTTATGTAGGGTGAGGTGGAATCTTTAAGAGAAAACTTGAACAAGAAGAAAGCTGAAGTTGCATGCCTGATGGATGAATCGAGTACTATGAAGAGAGAGATAGAGTGTTTGCGGCAATCAGTCAATACGGTATGTTAAAAATTTGTTATAAAGAGAAGGGTCTCAGTTAATGGAATGAGCCCTGAAGTTCGTAAATTAGTAGCAAATGAAAGGTAGCAATTGAAAGTATTGGATTTATCAAATAAAATCTTTTAATTGAATATTGGGTTTGCGGGGCTCTGATGGGCACTGCTCTTGAGCTCGTTTATAAAATAGTTTAGCTTTGAAATCTTACTGGTTTAATTACTTGTCGCATCTGTGGAGTTGATATAAATTTTAAAGCAGGCTGCAAGAGAGAAGATTGCTCTGGAAGAAGAATACCGTCATAAGTGCAATAACATTCAGAAGATTAAGGATCGTGTTAGGAGGCTTGAACGGCAGATTAAAGATATTGATGAAATGACTATAAGAAGCACACAGGTCCTCTTTATTTATCATTATCGTTAGATATAAAATCCGCAAACTAAGATTCTATAAGTTCTATGCTCAGTGTTTGGTATGGTGATTGAGGCGTACTGTAACGTGTGTGTGTGTGTGTATAGGTGTATATAATACTTACAGCCTGATAGTGATGCAGGCTGAACAATCTGAAATCGAAGAAAAACTGAATCAACTGAAGCTAGAGGTTGAGAAGGCTGAATCATTGCTTTCCAGGTCTTTATAATTTTTTCCGTTTTCTTCTCTTGGGCTATCCTTTTAAACTATTTTTTTCCGCTAAGCATGGATCAAATATTTGACACTTCAGTTTGAAAGAGGAAGAGAACATGGTAATAGAGAAACTATCAGCCGGAAGGAAGGCTGTGGAACAAATAGAAAATTTGGTATGATGATGCTTGTAGTTTTCCTTATGAATCTTAGTCCTAGAATTTACTGTTTCATATTTCTTTTGTTTTAACTATTATAATAACCACTTTATGTTGCAGTCTTTAAATTTCTTGACGTTCATCTATTTGGCCTTTTGATGTCTAGATTCGAGACCATGAAAAGAAGCAAAGAAACATAAACGCGCACATCAATGATCTGAAAAAGCATCAAACAAATAAGGCGCTTATCCAATTACATGGATCTACTAGGAAGCTCTATATGTTATTTCTATTTATTTGGAGGATAACAATCTCGAGGTAGTTGGATAATATCAAACTTCTCTTGCTAGGTTACCGCATTTGGAGGAGATAGAGTCATTAATCTTTTACGGGCGATTGAGAGACATCATCGCAGATTTAAAATGCCACCTATTGGTCCGGTTGGTGCTCATGTGGTAAGTTTCCTATTTGTTTCTTCCGCCCCAAAAAATTCAGTCGAGTTAGTTTAAATCTTCTCTTATATAGACCATGCATGGTGTAAAGAAAAGCTGCATTTTCAACTGTTACGACACAATCTCTGCTGTTTTAATGTGAACTCTTCTAATTTTGCGGTCTTCTGCAGACATTGGTCAATGGTAATAAATGGGCTTCTACAGTTGAACAAGCTCTTGGCAACCTCCTGAATGCCTTTATTGTGACCGATCATGAAGATTTAAATACTTTGCGAGCCTGTGGAAAGGAAGCAAATTATAACAATCTGAAGATTATTATTTATGACTTTTCAAGACCAAGGTAAAACTATAAATTTTTTTCCAATATCTGTGTTTATGTTATGCTCTGTTAAATGGATAGCTTCAATTATATTGCAAACGCCATGGTAATTGTTTATGCAGGTTAACTATACCAAGGAACATGGTTCCTCAAACGGAACACCCAACTATTCTCTCTGTCTTGCACTCTGAGAATCCTACTGTTCTTAACGTCTTGGTGGATGTGGTAACATTTTGTCTGTATTTACTAACTTTTCTTCCTCCAACCCCTGTGTGGTGTTATTTATTTATAGCTTTGGTGTCTCGATATTTCCAGAGTGGTGTGGAGAGGCGAGTGCTTGCAGAGAATTATGAGGTTGGCAAGACAGTTGCCTTTGAGTCAAGGCTCTCGCATCTGAAAGATGTTTTAACTATAGATGGATATCAAATGTAAGCAGCCATTTAGATTGCAAGAACAGATCGTTTAAAGGGATAATGAACTATTAGGTGTCTACAACTTCTTAAAATGAGATAAAAACAAAATTTTAACCAAAAGAGGTTTAAGTTGAGACTACTAGGGCCTACTTCTGATGTATTTACTGAGTTTTTTTTACTTGATTAGTGGAAAGGCTTAATGTTGATTTTATTTCAACTGTAGAGGAAGATTTGCGTCTACATATCAGTATTTTAACTATTCTTGAATCAGGTTTTCCCGTGGGGGTGTTCAGACAACGCTTCCTTCCCGTCTTCGAAGACCGACTCGATTGTGTGCTTCTTTTGATGACCAAATCAAGGATCTTGAAATAGAGACCTCAAAAGAACAAAGTGAGATACATGAATACAGGAGCCAAAAGAGGGAGGCAGAGGTGAATCTCGAGGATATTGAATCAAAAATGCGCAGACTGAAGGTAGCGAAAACTCGCTGCTGTCTCTTTAGCTGCACCCAATGTTTAACTGTCTTATCTGAAACATTTCGCTTGTTTTCACAAAGCCTAAGCTTGTTTGTACTTTTTTTTTCTTTTGAAGAGAAAAGCTTGTTTGTATTTATAATCACTTTGATATGTTTTGTGGTCTATGTTACAGAGGCAATGCACCCAACTTGAGAAAGATTTGACAAGGAAGGAACTTGAAATGCAGGATCTGAAAAATTCAATCGCTGCTGAAACCAAAGCTTCACCTACATCAAGTGTTAACGAACTTCATCTAGAAATCATGGTTAGTTTTATAAGTTGAAACGCCTGATTGTCATTTTCCACCCCGGGCACCATTCCTCAAGCGTTGCGCTATTTGTAATTCTCAGAAATCTCGAGAAGAGATAGAGGAGAAAGAATCCTTGCTGGAAAAGCTCCAAGACAGCTTGAAAGACGCTGAACTAAAGGCTAATGAACTTAGAGCTTCATTTGAGAACTTATATGGTATGGTGGCGATAGATTTATTTTTCTTGGATTTGTGTTAAAAACATGAAAGATCGATCATCTTGAATTACAGACTCCTTTGCTTTAACATAGTTCAAGCAATGCATGTAACATTTTTTTTTTTTTAAACGTGCGAATGCAGAGTCGGCCAAGGGTAAAATTGACGCCTTTGAGGAAGCAGAGAATGAGCTAAAGGAGATTGAAAAAAAACTCCAATCCGCAGAAACGGTACACTTTCTTAAAGAGTTTGGTTCTTTACTTGTTTTGCACTTAGAACTGAAGTTTTCATTCGGTTTCAGGGAAAGAACCATTATGAAGATGTAATGCAAAACAAGGTGTTACCTGAGATTAAAGTGGCTGAGGCTAAATATGAGGAGCTTAAAACCAAGCGGCAGGTAAGAATTAAACAATTTTGAAGTTACGTTAGTAATATAAACGAAAGGACAACAAATATATAAATCAAACTTAGCAATGCAAATCTTCATATTCAAGTTATTGCTATTGGATCCATATTATTTTATTATTTTGTTCGGCTGCCCAAATTTCAGGAAAGTAATGAGAAGGCCTCCATTATTTGTCCTGAGAGTGAGATAACTTCTTTGGCTCCCTGGGATGGGGACACTCCTATACAGCTTAGTGCTCAGATTAACAAAATAAGTCATAGACTGAAGCGAGAGAGTGAAAAGTGCGTATTTTGTCTTGCTTTGTCATTGTGCCTTTACATTGAAACTACCCGTTGAATGCATGTGAAGGTTACATCCTTTTATCTTTTGTTGATGCAGGTATTCTGAATCTATCGATGACCTCAAGAGTATGCACGAGGAAAAAGAACATAAGATTGGGAAGAAACGCAAACTTTACAAAAGCTTTCGAGAAAAACTGAAGGTTAAGCCTTGAAATTGTTAATATAATTTTTTCTCCTTATCCAAAATTCAATATATCTATATATATGCTAATCATTTAATGTGTGCATTACTGCTTAATCAGGTCTGCAAAGATGCGGTAGATTCACGGTGGAGAAAGCTCCAAAGAAATAAAGATCTTCTGAAGCGCCAATTAACTTGGCAGTACGAATTGCTTTGTTCATTATTGGCGCTTACATTTGATTTATAGTTCTATCTCAAGTTATGTGGTTTTTCATATGACCTTGTCCTTGGTTGGTGATCTTTGAAGCAGATTCAACTCTAATTTAAAAAATAAAGGTATCAGCGGACGTATCAGAGTCTCTTATGAGGAAAAAACTTTGTCCATAGAGGTAATCGTCGACGTAATGCTACATTTTGCATCTGCTGTGTCCATATTATTACATTGATCAACTGTGTTGACGTCATCTTTATTCTGCAACAGGTTAAGATGCCTCAAGATGCAACAAGCAGCGCTGTTCGAGACACTAGAGGGCTTTCAGGTCTGCTTCTCTACTCTCGATTTGAGTATGGATTAGGAGTTAAAATCCCAAATTTGATTGAAAACGTAGAACAAGGATGCTCTTCTAAACAATGTATGATATTAATTGTTTAAAAGCCCTTAGATATTAAACTCAAAAGAAGAAATGTAATATTTGCTTGCTATTGCACTCTATGTTTTTTCCTAGATTTGACTTTCTTATTGCTAAGTTTCTGGAAGCAGCTAATTACCCCATTGAGAGTCTAGACAGCTTCAGACTTGATTAGTCCCCCTCTTGTCATAAAATTACAGGTGGAGAACGGTCTTTCTCGACTCTATGCTTTGCATTAGCTCTTCACAATATGACTGAGGCCCCAATACGAGCGATGGACGAGTTTGATGTGTTTATGGTAATCTCTACATCACTCTCTCTCTCTCATTTACAAGCATTTGTCATGCTTTTAGCGCTTGATAAAACACCTAAAGAGAAAGCCGTTAAAATGTTTCGGTTTCTGCAACCTCAGGACGCGGTAAGCAGGAAAATCAGCTTAGACACATTGGTTGATTTTGCATTGGAACAAGGTTCACAGTGGATGTTCATCACTCCTCACGATATCAGGTAATAACTTCCACTTACAGAAGACCAAAATAGAAATCCCCAAAATTCACATGTGAATATCTCTTCTTCTTTTTTTTGCAATTTACAGTATGGTGAAGTCAGACGATAAGATAAAGAAGCAACAGATGGCTGCTCCTCGTTCTTGACCTAAATAATCTCTTCTTTTTTGGTGTGTGTAAATTCTATCTCACAAAAAGTGATCCCACCATTTTAATCTAACTGTAGGGGGAAAGAATGAGTTCGTCTGCTTTCCACTTCTAATTTTATTTTGTATTTATCTTATTTGTGGGAACTTGGAAGTTTCTCTTTTGTCAATATCTAAGAATGAATGAATATGATGATTAAAATCAAGTGGCTTCAGATTTTGGATCAAAAAGAGTGAGAGTGACAGGTTTCACTGTGCATTTGAGACCGTTTGTAAACTATTCCGAAAAATCTACAACAGTTTTCAAACGAAAGCTAACAAAAAGAGACCGAATCTTTCGTCTAGAGAGAGACAAAAATAAGATTAAAAAATCACAACCCAGAAAAAAAAATCCAATTTTTCTTTCTTTCTTTGAGAAAACTAAAGTGATTGCAAATTTCTCAGACCTTGAAACACACACTTTCCATTTTAATTGCAGAAATCCGTTAACGTTTCAGAGAAAGAAGAAAAGTTTTCTCGGAAAAACTAAAAACCATTCCTCCGAGAAAACGTTGGTTTCAGGGAGGACCACTTGCACTTGACGACCGGTTTTAACTGCGGCGGAGAATGTAAAGGGCCAAGTATGTCGTTTATGGGGAAGAAGGAGAGTAGTCCAATTTCGCCATTGAAGAAACGACGAGCCAGCTGGTCGGAACTTTGGGTTAACCATCACCATTTACTGTCTTCTTCGCCGCTCGATTTGGCTTCCAAGTTTCACCCTCCAATCGCCAAATCCAAAACCCTACTCCCCGATTCCTCCAAGACCGATCTCACGCTTCTCTTACCTGACCTCACCCTCCTCTCAATCATCGAAAGGGTACCTAAATCCCACCGCAAGAATCTCTCTTTGGTTTGCAAGAGATGGCAGAGACTCCACGGTCGTCTTGTTCGGTCGGTTAGGGTATCGGATTGGAATTTTCTCGCGTCCGGTCGGCTGATTTCGAGGTTTCCCAATCTTGATAACGTTGATTTGGTCAGTGGGTGTTTGATTTCGCCGCCAAATTCAGGTATTTTAGTTAACCACAGGCTAGTTTCCTTTACTGTTGGTGTAGGGTCTTACCAGAGTCAGAGCTTCTTTGAGGAGAATTTGTTGTCTGTTGAAATGGTTGATAGAGGGCTGAGAACCCTTGCAGGTGGCTGCCCCAATCTCCGCAGACTCGTGGTCACAAACACTAGTGAATTAGGGTTGTTGAATGTAGCTGAAGCGTGTTCCAGGTTGCAAGAACTCGAACTGCACAAGTGTTGTGACAGTGTTTTGCTTGGGATTGGTGCGTTTGAGAATCTGCAGATCTTGAGGTTGGTAGGGAATGTCGATGGTTTGTTTAACTCCTTGGTTTCGGATATTGGCCTGATGATTCTGGCTCAAGGGTGCAAGAGGCTGGTGAAGCTTGAGCTCTTTGGATGCCAAGGAGGATTTGACGGGGTTAAAGAAATAGCCGAATGTTGTCAAATGCTCGAGGAACTCACTGTTTGTGATCATAAGATGGAGTCGGGTTGGCTTGGAGGTCTTCGATATTGTGAGAATCTCAAGACGCTGAAACTGGTGTCTTGTAAAAAGATTGATGAGGATCCTGGTCTAGGTGAGTGCTTGAGTAGTTGTTGTCCTGCGCTCGAGCGGTTGCACTTGGAGAAGTGTCAGTTAAGAGATAAGAACACCGTAAAGGCTTTGTTTAAGATGTGTGAAGCAGCGCGAGAGATTGTAATACAAGATTGTTGGGGATTGGATAATGATGTCTTCAGCTTGGCAATGGCTTTTGGGTACTAAAAACTTTATTTTCTACTTTTGTGCTTTTGAGGTTTGATATTGGTGAAACTGGTAAAAGTAGACGGTTGCATTCGGGTTTTGTAGCACGATATGAATCTCTAGAAACAATGCGATCTTTAAAGTTGCAGCCTTTAGCCAAATTTCTCTGCTGCTAGTAGTAAACCCATAAAATGATGACTTTAAAGAAGATGGAATCTAATGCTGATTATCTTTGTTGGGTTTTGCAGGAGAGTGAAGCTTCTGTATCTAGAAGGATGCTCATTGCTAACAACATCAGGTCTAGAATCCGTGATTCTACATTGGCACGAGCTCGAACATCTGAAAGTGGTTTCGTGCAAGAACATAAAAGATTCAGAAATCTCGCCGTTGCTTTCAGCTTTGTTCTCGGACTTGGTAGAATTGCAGTGGAGACCAGACACCAGATCCCATCTCTGCTCAAGCCTTACAGGGGCTGGGATTGGGAAAAAAGGCGGAAAGTTTTTCAAGAAAACATGAAAGTTTATTACGAATTCTCAATACTGTTTCACTTGAATGCTTTTTGAAGCTTTATTAGGTTCTCTTTTTTTCTTTCTTCTCTTCCCGTTGAACAGAAAAGCAACTGCTGTAAATTTCTGCTTTGTAATCAGAAGTTTTCGTGGCTCCGGGATCGCTATTTTACCTTACTTTCCCTCTGGAAGAGAGTCGTGATTAATTAGATTGGGTGCGAGTTAAATTTCAAAGAAGATTGCTCTTTTTAAGACCTGATCACAATTCACTAAGATTGATCCATGGCTACTTAGTTGCGCCTACGGAGGAAGTTAAAGGTATCTTCATGCTTGTAGATTTGTACAAGGAAAATGAGAAAAGGTAGGAAAAAAAATGGAGATGCGGGGTATCGATCCCCGTACCTCTCGCATGCTAAGCGAGCGCTCTACCATCTGAGCTACATCCCCATTGATGAAAAAATTCTATATAAGAAAAATAAAACCTTATTTTCTAAAATGCAAAAACTATTTTAATTTTCTTGTATAAAATAGAAAAGTAAGTAACCATTAATGACTAATGTAAACCTTAAATCATTAGAATTTATCTTTTTACCCCTTCTAAAATTCTGCAGAACAAAAATATAAACCTAAAAATAGATAGGTATTCCCTCAATGAAAAAAGTGTACATGTGAGGTTCCAGTTATATACAGTTTAGCCTAATTAGGCCAGTAAACAATATAAAAGTGTTACAACTTAAATTAGGTTTTCTTAAGTGGTTTAGGTTCATCCACATACGCATATATCATTCTAATTTTCGATTTATACCAAGAATATCACGTGGGGCGGCTTGGTGCCATGCTAAACGAATTTCATTTCTGGTAGTAATAATGTGGAATTTTTTTATAATAATAAACATTTGAGTTCCCAAATAATTATTCTTTTCACTGTGTTGCAATTTGTGCATGTGATAAACCAGACAATATTGTTCCTTTTTTTCTTTCTTTCTTTATCTTGTATTTGATTATTTAAACATGTTGTAGTAATAGGTTACAACTTACAAGTTCCCTTTTAAGGAAAAGTTAACAAATTATATTTCCTAGTCGTCTTTAGTTTGTTCATTATAACATTCATACGCTAGGTCGATCATTTGTGTCAACTAAAACTCTAAAATCTACACACAGGAAAAAAAATTAATACAAAAAACAAAGAAATTTCTTTTACCACACATATATATATATAGTGTAACATCCCGACTTTTGGTTAACCAAATATCGGATGTTACCAGTTTCTAATTCCGGTTTTATTAAATTAAACCATCTCTATTCTCTTTTCTTTTTATTTCTTTTTTAATTAGGTATTTCCTAATTTCTTTCTAAGAGCCCATTAAGCCTAGCCCATCTATTTAACCTCTATATAAATACCTAATTAAATCCCTAAAATCCTCATTAAGCTCCTAATCAACCCTAGCCACCTTTTTCCTCTCTCTTTCTCTCCTCTCTGCGCCGAGCTGCTTCCTTTCTCTCTCTCTGCGTTTTCTTCTTCTTCTTTCTCTCTCTTGGTCGCGTCTCTCTCTCTCCTTGCCGCGGCCGCCACCATCCTCCAAGCCTCTCTCGCCGCCGAAGCTTCCTTGCCCAGCTGTGATGTCTGCGCCGCCTCCTTCTCATTTGGGTGAGATGGGAGCTGATTCTGATGGATCTCCTCTTAGATCTCCTTCTCCTTTGCTTCCTCCTCCAGTTTCTCAGCCTTCTAAGCCAAGGTGAGGGCTATGTGGCTTCATCCTCTCTTACATATGCATGGTTGTCTTTTAAGTGACCTTTTCTTAGATCAGGCTTAGATCTGCTTGTTAGGGTTGTTAGAATTGTTTAGGACCTGGATCTATGTTGTCTGTTTGTTGATGATTGCTGGTTGCTGGTGGAATGAGATAATTAACCTGAACTTGGATCTAAACTTATTGGACTTTAAAATATTGATTGTGTGATGTTAACCTGATTATTGTTCCTTTTTGTTACAATTGGTATCACCGAACGTGCATCTTAATAATAGAAAGACCTTTAAGAAATGGATGATTCTTTGAAATGGATGATTGTGCATATAGATCTCTGATAGGATCCCTGGCTCCTGGAGGCAGGAGTCAGTGTTGTTTGTTGGCTATCGCTATCGTGTGAGGCACGGCTAGAGCCATCGCTGGAGTGGATTAGCGATCCACTGTATTGAGCCGTCCAAACGGACCGCTGGGTACAGCTTTCTGGTGAGACCGCTATGAGCAGCCGTCTGAGTGACCGTTAGTGTCATAGCCTGTCTCGGTGATTGCTGTGGATCAGTCTGTGTGACTGGCAGAGTGAACCTGACTAATGGGTATGGTAATAGGCCAGCCATTGGATGGGATTATTCTGGTTGCCTTTCCGGGTGAGGCATGGGGGCCCATGTGGCAGCCCACTACTGCCGCGTCCAGGGACCCGTTGCTTGTGTAGTTGCTTGTAGGGTTACCCTTGAATGCTGTGTGATTGATTGCTAGGAATGAATTGTCTATATATATAAGTAAATATATCTATATATGTGTTGCTTGGGCTTGCTTTAGGATTAGATCTCTTAAAACCAATTTATGCTAGTTCGATGATGTTGTGGGCCTCCTTAAGATCCACCCTCACTGAGTAATCCCAATTACTCACCCCTCCTCTCCTCTTGTCTTTCAGGTTTAGTAGAGAGATCAACCTAAGTCTGTGTTGTTGATTGTTACCTGGGCGTTTTCCTGGCGATCCTGTGTGCTCACCAAATCGGACATCTTACCGACGGTTCGATGGCCGATCTAACATACCCGGTTCCCCGCTCTCTTAGGAGCCTGGGATAGGGATGTTACATATAGTAACAATGCTCTTTTCTGATTTCTTAACTTGCATAATTACAGATAAAACAATTTATGACCGGAGACGATATCATATTTTAACAAATGAATCATCTTCTCAAACATATATAGTACTAGATTTGAAGAGTGCTTTAAGCTTCCATGCACTGTATTATGTATCGACGTCGGTTTAATTTTAATGAAGATCAGATTTTCACCCGATTATATATACATTAAATTTGAATGAGATCTGGAGAAACATTTTATTTTTTTTCCATCCAATTAAAATAATTTCGCATGATAACAAATTAGCAACATATCTTTTAATCGAACCGCGATCAATGTACAAGATGCATAGCAGAGTAGAGTAGAGGAAGTTATCTAATCTTACATCGTTGTATATACTCCCTCCGTTTCACAAAGAGTGTCATTCTGACACTTTTTTTTGGTTTCAAAAAGAATGTCGTTTTAGAATTCCTATGTAAATTTTGATATAAAATACCATTTTTAATCTCAAAAATAAATTTAGAAAATTAGTTATAAATGTAATTCCAAAAGTCATTTCTGCAAATTAATAAGAGTATAAAAAATCTTTTATCTTATTTCTTAATTTGTGTGAAAAATGTTAGAGCGACACTCTTTATGAAACAGAAGGAGTATATTTCTATTTCCATTTCTTCTTTTTTTTTTCCATCTCGTTTACCTAATAAACGTATTGTATGCACGGCTACATCTATTATTCCATATTCTGTGTTCGAACTTCGAAGAGATGCACCCCAAAAAGGCTACGTTCTTAATTGACCCTTGCAGCCACTAAAAACTGCCACGTAACTCCCAAACAGTACTTAGCCAACAAGGTCAACTATAGATGCATTGATAATTACTTGATTACCTGTCATTTACACGTGTTTATTTCTTATTGGTTAATAGCTGGCATCTAAAAATTGTTTATGTGTGATTAAAATCGGCATGAGGTTGCAGATGTGGACAAGTTGACTATGCTAATGACCGGAAGTCTATGGGATTACTCGAGAAACAGCCAGACACGTGGTCTTGTCTTATTAGATCTATTTCCTTAAATAGAAATATTAGTTGCTTTCGTACCAACCTAATTTGCAACATTTTCTATAAGTAGAATTTTAATTTATTAGACGACCAAATCTTATTGGATCCGCGCTTTCCTCACCCCACGATTTATTTTATTTCTATTCATTTATAATATCATCGACCGCCTGATCCACTATTTTGACAAACAAGTTTGTCATTACTGCTGGCTTTGGAATTAGAAGAAGATTAACCGAAGAGTTTTTTATAAGATAACAGGGAATATCACTAATTTAGAAAAGAGGAAGCCTATTACGATAGGTACTTACTTTAACAGGGTAAATTATTTTATAGTCAAATGACTTAGAAAGCTCATCATAAACGTTTTTTTTTTTTTTGCCCATTTTACTATGTCTAGATAGATTAAGTGGGATAGGTATTTGTTTATTCGTCGAAACTCCATTCTCATTTATCACCCCCCAATAGTTGGTTAATCTAATAAAGAAATTATGACTTTTTATTTAAGGGAATATACTAGGTCACTAAGTAGAGCTATACCTGTTAGCAAAAAAAAAAAGTAGAGCTATACCTTTGAATTTTCTAATTTCAATTTAAGTGTATATATAACGGAAGCATCCGCCTCACCTTGTTACACATTATCTATATTATGTCATTTTGTTTGAATAGGTGCATTATACATATTTTAACTACATACCAATATGGATTTTACGTAGGCATGTGTAATGGTACTTCTATTATAATTGTAGATGGAATTCAAATATTGATTAAAATAAAAATGTTTTTGAATAGATGTCGATAAATATTTTTTTAAGTTCTTTTTATGTTTTAGGTTGAGCTTTTTAGTTCTTCATCCAAATGGTAATAGAAAGTAAAATAGGAATCGTAAGGCAAGAAAGCTTAAAACTTAATAGCTTGATGGCAAAATATGATGATTTGTTTCGTTGAATTTATCAAATTATCACAATGGCATGTTCGTTCATACACTTGCTCTTCTTTTAAAAGGGAAAATATATTGAGGATAATAAACATATGTATATTGATGTCCATGACAAAATACGATGTTTTTAAGTTTGACTTTTTTTACCTCGTTAGACACCGTTAATCAATAGTAAAATAACACAGATCTGTCAAATAAGGAAATAAGATTAAAGTGCGACCAAAAAAAAGGAAACAAGATTAAATAACCAATACGAGTAACAGCAAAACACCATTTGTCAATCAAATTCATGCGTTCCTTCCTGGCATTTCTTTTGGGAATAGAGAGTTGTACTTATTAAACAAAATTAATTAATAATATTAGGGATTTGGAATAAATAAATCGATGTCGAGTCATCAGAATTTCAACATTTAATTACATGTAATGACATGCACGGACCTGAATATCAATTTTTTAAAAAAATAAACGAATTGATTACTACCGACTACGGTTAAAACAATAACTCTCTTGAATCATATTAATAATAATATTATTTTACTCATTGCCAGTCTGCCATTATTCATTGCATAAAAAGTTAACGAGAACAACTTATGTTGGTTATTCGCTGAATTTTCCATTGTAACGTTAATAATTATTCTCACCGAGTTACATTCAAAGAACCAAAAATAAGGCAAGTCTACTATTATAGATCCGATCATCCGAATATAGTTTTATGAATTTCATTTTAATTATAATTACCTTTTCAAAAAAAACAAAAAAAAAAAGAGAAGAAAAAGGTTTCTTTCTTTTTTAAAAGGGAAAGTGCTAAACAACCTAGCCAAGTTGCGTTGCACACTACGTATCTTTTTCTCTCACAAAATAGGGACAAGATTTTTTTATTATTTATACATAAGTAATTTGTATTTTAAAAACGATCATTTTCGTCAAAAAATTATACCTTTCTAGTTCCATTAAGTTCCGTTCCTTTTTAGTTCCTCTCCGTCTCCTTAATCTCTCGCTCTTTAACTCCTCTTTTCACCTTTACTCTCTCTTTCTCTCTCTACATATATCTATCTATCTATATATATTCTCTGAACCCATCTCTTGAAACACATTCAAGATCAAATCTTTTTCGATCAAAAAAAAAAAAGCATTTCAGAAACAGGTGTTTTCGATCAAAAAAGGGTTTGAATTTGTTCCGGGATAAGATATTTGCTTTTCTCTTAGGGTTTAAGGTTACGTGGGAAATAAAAAAAAATGGAAACTTTTGGTGGGTTTCACAAAGAAGATGATGAGCAGATGGATTTGCCTCCTGGGTTTAGGTTTCATCCAACAGATGAAGAACTCATAACCCACTATCTACACAAGAAGGTTCTTGACATCGATTTCTCTGCTAAAGCTATTGGCGAGGTGGATTTGAACAAAGCTGAGCCATGGGAGTTGCCGTGTAGGTTTAAACAAACCAAGTTTTGTTTTTTTAACATCTCGGATCCAGAAACGGATTGTTTTTTTATTTCTGGTTATCATTGTTCTTGAAATCTAATGTGTGTTTGGTGGATTTTTGTTAACAGATAAAGCAAAAATGGGTGAGAAAGAATGGTACTTTTTCTGTGTGAGGGATAGAAAGTATCCGACCGGTCTGAGGACTAACCGGGCAACTCAAGCCGGTTACTGGAAGGCGACGGGGAAGGATAAAGAGATTTTCCGAGGCAAATCGCTTGTTGGTATGAAGAAAACACTTGTTTTCTATAGAGGAAGAGCTCCAAAAGGGCAGAAAACAAATTGGGTGATGCATGAGTATAGGCTAGATGGAAAACTCTCTGCCCACAACTTGCCTAAAACCGCCAAGGTAAAAAAGAAAATCCAACCTTTGCTCTGTTTTTCAACCCTGTTTTATACATACTCTGTTTTTGTTTTGCTTTGTTTTTTTTTTTTTTTTGATAGTTTTTGGGGTTTGGTTCCATTTGTGGCAGAATGAATGGGTGATATGCAGGGTATTTCATAAAACTGCTGGAGGCAAGAAGATCCCCATTTCCACTTTAATCCGGATTGGTTCTTACGGAACCGGATTACCACCTTTAACCGATTCTTCACCATACAATGACAAAACCAAGACCGAACCGATTTACGTGCCCTGCTTCTCCAACCAAACTGAAACCAGAGGAACAATACTCAATTGCTACAGCAACCCTGCCCTTAGCTCGATCCAACCTGATTTTCTTCAGAGGATTCCACTCTATCAACCTCAGTCTCTCTACGTTTCCGAGAACCTACAGAATTCAAATCCGATTCTTGCTCAAGAACAATCGGTCTCTCAAGCGATGATCGAGAACAGCAGAAGGCAGAGCTTCAAAACGTTGAGCATCTCGCAGGAAACCGGAGTTTCTAATACCGATATTTCATCGGATTTTGAATTTGGGAGGAAAGGGTTCGATCATCAAGAAGTTCCGTCTTCCTCCGCCGGTCCAGTTGATCTTGAACCTTTCTGGAATTACTGAAGATTCAGAACCTCAAAAAGTCCATTAATTTAGGTCACAAGTAAGAAGAACTTTGCAAAGTTTTATCCTTTTAGCGTGGTGTGCTAAGTTTGTATAGATTATTATAGCACTTCTTCCCCTGCTCTAGTGTTTTCGATTATTATACTCAACTGAAACTTAATATTAGATAGAGGATACAAAAAAGAGAATCAATTAAATTAGTTAAATTTTTGTTTTATTTTTCAAAAAAAAATTCATGAATTATGGTGAGTATATATATATAACTGATGCCTTTGAAATATCAACATGTTGAATCAGAATCAGTTTCAGGCCTTCAGTGTATATGGTTTTTGAGAATCGATTTGCAGGAAACTTTTTTTTATAGGAATAATTCTTCTGTCATCTCAAGCTTTTTCGGATTTTTATGACGAACCAAATCCATATATATTGCATGGGGCCATTGGGATGATATAAAAACAAAATGTATACTCGCGCATATATAACACATGCATCGATGACATACATATGATACAAGGACTAAACGTGGCTAGCATTATAGAAACACGGATCTTAACAATTGATATCATAATTTAAATCGTAATTAATATGAAAACCACCTAAAATTTAATACTTTAATTTCTACTTCCCACGAATACTATCTAATTAAACATATGAACATTGGGTATATATATTTAACAAATACTTATTTTCTTTTTTGCCGTTGCCGTTGCCGCCAAAAGATCACATTTTAAGTTGCTCATAAGTCATAACATAGCAGCCGTCTGTAAGAGCAGCATGTATATCAGTGAACCTCTAAAGGAGGGTTCACCAGAATATAAAAATATTTTTTTTTTTAGTTTTTTTTTTTAATTAGAAAATTATAATTTTCGACCAATCAGGATGCTCTATTTCGGGATGATACCGTCTCTTCAGGTTCGTCGGGATGATACTGTCTCTTCAATATTAAACTCTTTTGTCTCAAAAACTGTGTCATGAACCCCTTTTGATCCTCTGATGTACATGCTGCTTAGTATTTGACCTTGTCGACAGAAAATGTTTTTTATATTAAAATCTTGTTGATTTTAATCCAAATGCGTCAGTCTAGTTGATATCCAAAGAGGGAATAACAGAACCAAACGGTTAGTCGTGTTCAGAACTTATTGTCGACGTAAACTTTCCTAACAAAAGCAGACTCATTAACCAGAAGTAGATATCCACAGACAAAATCGATAATTTCATGTCATTATTCTGACACATCATATAATTATCTTTATTTTATTTAATTAAATATTTTTATATATAGTGAAACACAATTTCCATGGAAAAAATAGTTTCGTGTCATTATTGTGATATATCATATAATTATCTTTCTTTTATTTAATAGTTTTTTTAATATATAAAGTGAAACACAATTTCCATGAACACGAAGCACAAATTCACGCACGTATCAATTAATAAAGACAAATCATCTTTCATACTGTATTTTCTAAAGATATATATAGCTAAATAACTACATTATATTAATTAAATCCGAGCACTGGATGTTGAAATACATAATTTATATTTAAAAATTCGCTACAAGCCTACACATATATGACTTAATGAGTGAATGATTTTAATGAATTAATTAAATCAATATTCTTAAAACCGTCTAACACACGAACAACACTTTTTATTCCTCTACTTTTAGATTAAAGATGTACTTTCGTTACTTATCGACTCTCTTTCATTTTTCCCATGAAGAATCTATTCCGTTATAAAGTTTTTCTTTTGGTTATAAAGTTGTTGCGCATGATGTATGAAATATGTGTATATGTACGTATGAAATGTGTGTATATTATGTACATGTATACTAATATTATACTCTGAGCAGCTTTTAACTTGAATCATATATTGAAGTCTATATACATATTGAAGTCTATATACATATTGAAGTCTATATACTTTGACTAAGAATAGTTTACATTAAAATCGGTGATACCAGTACGTAAAATAAATCCGATGATACCTATAGAAAATTGATAGACTACAGAACAAGATATCCGAAAATTGTAAAATAACAAATGAAAGATGGAAAATATGATTGAAACATGTACAAAATTATCTTAGAGGTTTTTGTTTTTGTAAAAATAGTAACCATAATGAACACGTGTTAAATATGTACTTAAAAAGGATCCATTTGAGTTTCACGCAACATCTTCTTTAACGATATTTTACTTTGTTTTTACCTTTTCTTTAATATTTATTTTGCAGCTCCATCTTTTTTTTTTTCAATCAGATTTCAGAAAATAGTATTATTCTATGTTCTAACAAACACTAAACACTAATGGCACGGATTTTGCTTTGTAGAAGATTTTAACTTTGGTTTTATAAATCAATTTGTATAAAAAACATGAATCACAACATAAAATCGTTGTTTTGGTGGATGTTGACTTTTTTTTCTTCTAGCGTGTTTTTCATAATCACTATTTAATATATAAAAATGCCCATTTTGAAGTTTGGATAAAAACAAAACAAAAGTTGATTACTATAGTTCAGTTACCTTTCAAGAACAGATCCCCAAACCCCAAAAACACTCGGATTAAATTTTGTATTTTGCTAATTTCGGATATGTATATACTTCAGATGAATTTGAAATCTCACCCCTCAGTTAATTGCGGATTTAACATGAATACGTATACCCACGTGTCGTATTCGATGTAATTAGTCGTCACTTTAGTTCACCTTTTTTTGTTTTTGTTTTGTTATTTTCCACTTTTTCGGTTGACAAGTTTATTTTCCAGTTAAAATAGACAACTTGTCCTTCATTTACTCCTTTCATTATATGGGCGAATTATTAGAAACACGATGTAGAAGCAGATACTCTCTCGTCAACGATTTTCGAGTGGGCTTCTCGATGTTGGCCATTTATATTACTGTAGTTTGGGTCTATCTTCGAAAAGGCCCAATTTTCTTCTTTATCAATCAAGTCAATTCCTCTTAAAAAGACTGTACCCAGTACATAAATAAAAGTATAAAGTTATAAAACCAACCTCAACATGGAAGTATACGAGTCATATGACTATATATGGATTCATTATACCATATTGCATCTCTTGTTTTAATTTCTTAACTACGTCAATTAATTTTTCAGATAATCACTGAATTCGAACCTGACTTAGGCCCAAAAAATAGATGTTTGATGCAATTAATGGTCCTTATGCGTCAAACTATTTGATTGATATACTAATTTATCATAACTCAGTCATTTGAATACTCTTGAATTAATCTCACATATAGTCAGCAGAACTAATTTCCTGTATAATAAATTTGACGTAAAAATTAATTATTACTACAAATGTTTGAGAAATTGCAGATTTAAGTGATTGACTAAATTTTCATTTAAATTTATTAGATTTCATTTAAATTTATTAGATAAACTAAAATTATGTAGTAATTTTTGATTAAGTTTGTCTATGTAAACTTTACATTTTTCTATATCTGATAGTAACTAACCGATTGCTCAGGAATTGTCGGTTTGACCTTCGTACATGCCCCTATCCCCTAGCTACTCCTTCTATGGCCTGGCTTCCCAACAATTTAACATTTAAAAGCATCATTTAGCTATCAAATTGTATTGCACTATCAGCAAAGCTTTACATAATTAGAAAAGGAGGAAAAGTGAATAAATGATATTAGAGAATTGTGTTATAATATAAAATTGGCATTCGAGAATCGTATCAACTAACCAAAGTTAAATTGCGAAGAAGTGCAAAAATAAAGTTTTTTCGTGTGTTTTAACTGAGAAATTATGGGCTAGTCAGTAAAAAAAGTAGTTAAAATAATCTGTTTAATATATTATTGGATTATATTACTTATATTAATCACAATCACCCATATCAACCACGCCGACCATACTGCTTTTGACGAATGCTAGCAGCCACAAAACCTAATATTAAAACCTAAAAATAATAATAGAGACAATGGGTCCACGATAAGGGGAAATGGAAATCACAAATACCGTCTACACTATTTTTATAAGATAATTTTCTGTTGGTGGTTGTGAATTTTGTTTCGAGGAAAACAAATTGTGTAATCAAATAGTATAATCCAATTATTACTATATATGTATATATCTAGATGATTTTTTTTGCTAATAGTACAATCCAATTATTGGAAAGCCTTGGTAATGAAAAGAGGAAGATAATGAATAAGTCATATACGCCCAACGAAGATAATGAATATAAATTCTTAATTCCCTGTCCATCATTTTCGATTTTTGGGCTTTGATGTAATCAGTTTTCGGTGTGTCAAGTTTACATAATCTTGAAATCGATCGCTCTTACTAAAAAGAAAAACATAACAGTTATATATGTATATATATATATATATAATGGTTCCAAATTTATTCAGTTTTCATGTCAGTTAATTAGAAAGCTCTACGTGTAATCTGGCTCAACATAAGAACACCGACTCAAGTTCATTGATTTTTGGTCTAATCGAAATTTGTAAGTAATTATGATTGTAGTAACAATTTGATGTTCGGATTCGATAACAAGGGGAATAGATACAGCCATAAAGGCTCTCTAGAGTCCTAATAAATAATGCGTTGTATCAAACTAGTCACAATTGTTTTGTAACAATATTCACTTTTTTTTTTTAATGACTTTCCGGTTGATGAAACACTCGCTTTAGGTTCTTAGCAATGAACCTCGGCTCTAAAACTTCACACTTTCACGGAAAGCATGGCTTACTATTTTTTCCGGAGCCCTCCAAAGTTAATTATATATATTCATCAAATAGGGAGGGCTCCAATATACTACTTCAGACACATTAATTGTCCAATATTAGTAGTCCTTGTTAGAAGGAGTTGACTCCTTTTCTCCATATGTTTTCTCCAATGATATAAATCATATAATGGGGTAACATTACATCCAATATCTCTCGATTCTATCATCATTGTGTGGTTTCCCAAACTTGTGGTGTACGCCATCTTCTTGATAGACGTGGTAATCCGTAATTAAATCATAGGTACAATATAGAGAACACAAACTAGGGTTTAACAAAACGTAAACTAGAGTATTTTAACCTGAAAATATGTTGCTTTATATATTGGATCCATATAGAAAACGTTGTTTCATCTGTTAATTTGTTTCTTTTGAGAAAAATTGTTTCAACTGTTTTGCCTTCAAAATCGATTTTTAGTCCAAAAATGTAACATGGTGTTCCGATACAAAGTATTTATGTTGT